TGATGGCAAAATGCTAATCCTTCATATATTCCTGTGGCTTTTCATGAACCCTAATAATGGGAGTGTTCCTATCCTTCAGCCCCAAACCTGCACTCTACCAGGAAGAGAACTGACACTTGTTGCATGATACGCAGGCCCTCCGTTTTTATTAAAATTGTCAAGCACAATTTTAGGCTTCTGAATGGCCATTTGTGTCCTTTCAAAATATATCTATGGTCAAGAATATGGTTTTGTCAGACTGTAGCTTGCCTCATGACCAATCATTGGCTGTAATGGCTTTAACTGATGAGTACAGCAACATGTTGGGGACCAGAGAGTCTCTAACCATAATTTAAATACTTAACTGTAATTGATATGTTTTGTAGGCCTGTTTTGTTTAGAAATGAAATGGGAATTCTAGGAACAATATGTGATGTTTCCCTTTAACTTATATAAATTGTCTTACAAATTTTAATGTCAAGTAATGCTTATATTAGAGAAAATTTTGTACAGTAGTGCTACTTCAATTTACTTTTGCCGTTAACAATATAGTCATCTAGCATTGCCCTACAACTTATCTGTGAAATCTTCAAATATCTAAAGGAATTCAACTGATTTACATATGTATTTCCTGTCAAGAGATACAGCACTATGGGATTTGAAGTGTTTATTGGACTATTAAAAATATGTCTTGACACTCAAGAGGTCAAGATATGCAAGCTTTCTAGGTTTCAGTGCAGACTTGATGCGATTTAATTCATCAGGTTGCAACTTGTATGACACATTGTCCAGGCACATATCTTATAAATTCTTGATGAGCGGATCTTTGTCATTAGAGGTAAGTAATTTTCCCTTGCAGAAAAGTTAACACCTTTGTTCCTGTCTGATTCTGGAAAATATTTTTAGGGCCTTTTCAAAAAAATCTATTGTTTTGTCTGTGTAATCAATACAGTATTTGTCATCAATTCTTTATTAGATTGCCGCATCATTTCTTTGCACTTGTAATGTCCCCAAGATGTCATAAAGAACAGTAACAGTTTAAATGCTATAAATTCTATTTTTACTTCATTGCCCCCAGAGGTCAGGTACATGTCAGGATTGCTTCCTATTCATGGAACTACAGAGTGTGGTGGTGAGAGTCTCCTGCCATTAAACAGTGCTTGGAAGACATTGGCATTTTGCCACTTTAATTGATGGAGTAGGCCAAGCCTCACTACTAGTTTGGAGGTAAAATTGTTCTGACTGGAAATTTTTTTCTTCAGGGTCTTTCTGGCTGATCGAAACAGGAGAGCAATTTTAAATTTTTGAAGGAGGAAATCAGTTCCAGCAGTAGACCCTGAGGCAGTGCCACAAAGAAGTGCTCTGAATGGTGAGAGCAGCGCAGCTGCCTTTATGCCTCTGAAAGAGAGGTAGTTGTTCAGTTTCTCCAAGTTCTTGTCTTAAGTCCAATTTTAATCAGGCCTTTTAGAAGGTGCCAGAACTTCCTTCAGTAAGCCTGCCTCCATGCTTGGTTTTTTTGCTTTGTTTTTTTGTTTTGTTTTTGTTTTTATGGGTTGGTTATATCTAGCAGTTGTCTTCCACATGGATGGTTGTTGTTTTGTGCCATGTAGTATAAGTGAAGTACAGTACAGTCTTTTTGTGAGTTTAGTGTTCTCACCGTTGCAGATAACTGTTATGTTAAAGATGATGCAGTGGCTGAACTCTTGTTGCTTGGTATTGATTTAAATGTATCTACTCTAGTTCCAACTTATTACACTAAAGTGGGTAGCAACTAAAGTAAGCTCATTTGAATCCATGGAACTTATGGAGAAGTTGTCTCACCAAAACTCCATAGATTCAGTGGGCCTACTCTAGTGCGACTTACTGTGTTATTCAATAGGTTTTCAGCCAATGTTTGACTGATAGAATTGATACAAATGGTATGGCAGATTTATTTTATTGAGAGTTGTCACACACACACACACACACACACACGTATGTGTAAATCATTTTGCTGGATACTGCTTCTATGCATGTTATAGCTTTTCTTCTTTCCCAGTGTGGAAATCTCAACAAGTTACAGAAGGCAAATTCTTACTTTTGGGCTTATTTTTCTTCTTTGCCTCAGATGTTACTATTTTCTTTGTTTCCCCAGTCTTGTTGTGTTGCATATTTGATTTTTTAAAAACCTCACCTTTTATTTAGATCTGTTTCACAAATGTTATTCAGTTCTTTCCTAACATTGTTTGTGCCTCTCTCAGACAGACAGTGACTTAGGGTATGATAGTCCTGTGCCTTGCGCTTTCATTTCCTGCACCTCTTTAATCTCCTTGGCAAAACAGATATGAGAGACACTGACATTTAAGCAGTTTACATATTTTTTAATCAGTGATAAGTAAGTTTCTAATTTCAGTGTGATGCAATTGTTCTAGTTCCTTTTGCAATAATGTCACATTTAAAGCCATTGTGTTAAAGGATACATCTGATAGGTACAGTTGAATTATAGAATGACATTTCTGTTGTTGAACCCTACTATATGTTAAAATTCAGTATATTTATTTTTGATTGATTGGCCCTTGGAACATGGCCTGCCTGCTCTTTCTTTGTAAAGCAGCATGTAACTAAATAGCACAAAATAAATGCATAAATAATAATGTTACCTTAAGCCTTATACAAGCTTATTTGCATTTTGCCTGTATTTAAGATGTCAGAGGTACAATGCATAAGCAACCATATATAGAAAAAAATTATTGGATTTGTCTATTTGTCTTCCTTCTGTAGGAAGATAATTTAATCTCTAATATCAAGGGTCTGGTCTGGATTTATATTAGCTTTGTTTTATTAAAATACAATACGTGCTTCACAGTCTGTTGCTGTCTGTGTAAAGGTAGAAGCCTTTGTAGTTCTGCACATGAAGAACTGTTGTATTTTTACTTGAAAAGAAAACAAAATAGAAGGCCGTTCATGAAATTCTTCCTTAAGTAGGTTAAGATGTTTGTGTTGAGATTTTGTGTTATATTGATGATTGGCATCATGTCATTACTCATTGCAGGGGGGGGGAGCCAGGCTGTTTAGGGCTTTATGCTGTTTAGGGCTATACAAGAATGAACTTGTATAGCAACAATCCCAGTGTTTTGTTTCCAGACTGCCAGTAAATAACCTGTTCGATCTTTGGATATACCAGGCCTCACAGCCACAGTCTCAGTGCGTAGTGCTTTCTCTCTTAGTATTGTTTCCCCTCTTTTTCCTTCCTCCTTCATAGGAGGTCAAGTCTCCTTCCAAAGTCAAAGGCAGGAAGGACTGCTGGGAAATGGAGATCAAGACTCCTACAAACCAGTGGCAATATTTGTGCTATCGTCCTTCAGTATTTCTAACTTGTTGAAGGGAAGCCCAGTCCAGAAGGCCTGGAGTACACACATTTCTGGCCCTCAAGAGCTGCTGTAGGTGATCCTCACAGGAGAAAATTTTTGTAAGGGAATTTTGAGGGGGAATTTTAAAATTTGACAGGAGGAGGTCTAGAGAGATCACATGCCAGGGAAAGATCTGGAGCGCCTCCAACATGTAGTCAAAGCCTGTGAGTTCTAATTCCAAAATTAAAAGGAGAGACATTGCATGTAGGAAGACATTCTTTCCCCCCTGAAAACGTCAGAATGAAGGTGTGTGTAATGTAACTTTGCCACCACTTGCTGCCATAGATGTTAATGGAACCTGAAAACAGGAAGTTTTTGAAAACGTTTGAACTTTTTGCTCATAAAATAATCAAACCGCTAGAGTTTTCTTTTTTGATGAGACTGGACATAGTATATTAGTAATTTTCAACTGTATTTGACAAGAAGGTGCAATAAGCCATTTCAAAAAATGGAATAAAAGAGCAAGTAGTAGAAATGTAAATTTTCAGAATATTTCCCCCTTCTGGACCTCTTGTTTTTATTAGAGTCGTTTGGGATTTCGCACATTTATAGAACATCAAGGAACTAATGGCTGCCACATTTCAGGTTATTTATTGAACAGGCATTATTTTTGCAAGCAGTAGTATTTTGAAGTTTATAATGGCAGAACCTTCTTATGTGTGAATGGCATATCTTAACTAAAAAGGCAATATAAAATCCCTGTAATGTCTGCCTTCACTATTATTTGAAGTAAGTTGAAGTGATGAGTATTTTAATGCTTAGCGATATGAATATTCTTTCCTGTGTTTCTAGGCTGGTTGTAATGATAGAAGGAAATGAGAGTGTGGATAGAGCTAATTTCTTGATCTTGCTTTTAACCTGTTGGTCAGGTGCTTTTAAATGTTTTCTTCTATAAATATCAGATGGATGGATGGGTATGCTCAGTCAGTGTACTTATCTTGGTCAACCAATATTACATTTGTTTGTATAAGAATTTAGAGAGGAATATTAGTAAATTAAACTAGCATTACAATGTGATAACAAGCATAAGAAGAAAAACCTGCAAATTATGTGCCATGCCTTTGATAGCATTCCCACAGCAAAGTGTTTCTATTATATGCAAATATGGATTTTAGGATATGTCTATATTGTTCTGTGCTATTTTTCCTGGCTGTGAGATTTACACAAACGAGGGGTTGGATATAAAGTAACTTCCTCTGGTGGAGAAAGGCATTTCTATCCAGGGAGGGAGCTCATCTGCACCTTACTCAAGCATACCACATGGTTTCTTTTAAAAAATGAATACAGTAGCTTGTAACAAGTTCCCTGGATATTTAAGACACATTTTAAAACTTATTTAATAAATGTATTTTAGAATTTCAAAAAACAAAATCCCAAGGTTCAGCTAAGTAGATAGATCTATCCTGGAATAAGGGGTTGGTACAGAATATCTTTGCAGTATATTTTCCCCTGAAGCATTCAAGGAGAAGCGTCTGTATGTACCTAGGCAGCATAACAAATATGCGTTCTGCATATCTTTGAAATGTTTTACTAGTTCACACAATTTAGGTGGTTTCCCTGTGTAATTTATTTTTGACAACAGAAATATTTGATCAGATTGCTTTTGTAAAGATTTGGCAACGTTTCTTGCAGGTACCTTTTGATTTATAATCCTACAGAACAAGATCGTTCATCGGTGGTTTCAGTCTATGTGAACACACCCAGAGTTAAAGTACTGTCTCCTTCTGGAAGATCTGTTCTAGTCCAGCTTGGTGCAGTATGGGATGGAAGTGCTAAAATAACAAATGATGTATATCAGGCAAGTTATTTGTAATATAATCTGTGAGCGTGTATTGGATGAGCATGTTAATATTTCTTACTTGGGTAGTAGTAGAAAATTGCTAGACAAAGAACTCACTTGTTCGCTTAGTAATCCTGAAGCAGAATGTCTTGGACATTTTACTTATAAATTTTGGGAATTTGTTACTATTCCCAAACTTAAAAAGAAATAAGATATACAGATACTTCAGTATTTACATGTTCTCTAAACCCCCTGAATTCCGTAGAGATTACTCCCAGGTAAATGGAATAACATGACAGCATCTTAAAAAGCAGAGACCTCACCTTGCCGACAAAAGTCCGAATAGTCAAAGCTATGGTTTTTCCTGTAGTGATGTATGGAAGTGAGAGCTGGACCATAAAGAAAGCAGACCGCTGAAGAATTGATGCCTTTGAATTGTGGTGCTGGAGGAGACTCTTGAGAGTCCCCTGGACTGCAAAGAGAACAAACCTATCAATTCTAAAGGAAATCACCCCTGAGTGCTCACTGGAAGGACAGATCTTGAAGCTGAGGCTCCAATACTTTGGCGATCTCATGAGAAGAGAAGACTCCTTGGAAAAGACCTTGATGTTAGGACAGTGTGAAGGCAAGAGGAGAAGGGAACGACAGAGGATGAGATGGTTGGACAGTGTCATCAAAGCAACCAACATGAATTTGACGTAACTCCGGGAGGCAGTGGAAGATAGGAGGGCCTGGCGTGCTCTGGTCAGTGGGGTCATGAAGAGTCGGACACGACTAACGATGACGACGAAGTGGAATAAATAAACTATTATTTATATATTCACTTGCTTATCAGAGCTCAGAATAATTAACAATCCACATAACAACATAACAGTTAAGTTACAAATCAGGTAAAGGTAAAGGTACCCCTTGACATTTAGTCCAGTCATCTCCAACTCTAGGACGCGATGCCCATCCCCATTTCCAGGCCATGGAACCAGCATTTGTCCGAAGACAGTTTCCATGGTCACATGGCCAATGTGACTAGATATGGAACGCCATTACCTTCCCACCGAGGTGGTACCCATTTATCTACTCACATTTTTACATGCTTTTGAACTACTAGGTTGGCAGGAGCTGGGATAAGTGATGGGAGCTCACTCCATCGCATGGATTCCATCTTACGACTGCTGATCTTCTGACCTTGCAACACAGAGGCTTCTGTGATTTAACCTGCAGCACCATCATGTCCCTATAATTACAAATTACATGTAGCTAAAATAACAAACCACAGAGGTCTGCTAAAATACAATGAAAGCAGTGCAAACAGCCAGTGTTAAAAGACTTAGAAATGAATGAGAATTAGAAATGAAATATCTCAAAAAGAAGTACTTCTTTAAATATTGCATAGTTAAACTGGAATTCACTGCCACAAAATGTCTTGATGGCTATCCACTTCGAGTGCTTAAAGGGGAGTTAGATAAATATATGGAGGTTTGGGCCATCCATGGCAACTAGAGATAGAGGTATTCGTATACAAATTCTAATATCCCCATCTCTAATGGCAAGTAATCAGAATTACTGTACACACCAATGGTATCAGAGGCACAGTGACTCTGTATCAGTTGCTGTGGAATGCAAAACAAAGGGTGCAGTTAAAGTTTTCATAATATTCTGTGGAAATGTTTGCCGACTTTTTATCTGTTTCTGAGCAAACCCATACAGTGTGTTGAAACAGTTTCCTAGAGTTGCATGAAAGAAAAACATTATTTCAGCAAGTACTGGAAGTCACCAGAGGAATGGTGTAATCTAAGCAAGTGAAATAACTGTTTTCTTAATCAATCTTTCTGTCCTTTGCCTGAAGTATGGATTTTTCTTCTTGTTGTTCCTTTCCTCCTAGAGTATGAACATCATCATGGCTATTCTGACTTTGGATGCAGCAGCTCTAAACAGTGATGTTTTGTTGCATTCAAACTATTCTCCAAGATTTTGAAGCTAAGAATGTTTGTGTCCTTGCTATATTTCTTTCCCCTCAAGTAACACTTACTTTCACATGCCTGTTTCTAACTGATTTTGGCTTTGACTGGAAATGTTTTTAGTGCTAAGTTAGAATTTCTATATAAGAGGTCCTATTCAGAGCCAGAGGATTTTCTTTTTTCTTGCATGTCTGTTTTTGATACTGGAAAAATAACATTTATTTTATTTTCTCCCCACAGATCTCTTTCTTGGCTCATGTACCACCTTTGGGTTTTGGAGTTTACCAGCTTCTGGAAGGACCAAGTTTGGAAACTGTACTGGCTGATTATAATCTCTATCACAATGATAAAGCTAAGTTAGTCAAGACGGATAGAGTTTTCAATGTTAAAGAGATACAGAATGCTTTGGATGAGATCATGTTGGAGAATACCTATATGAAAATCTGGTTCTCTGGAAATTCTGGGCTTGTCGAGGTATGTGTGTTACAAAATATATGTAAATATTGTGGTATCCAAATGAAAATGTAACACATGGATCTCATTAACTTTTTTTCCCTGTTAGAAAGTGAATACAAAAGAAGATAATAAGAACCATCGTGTAAAGTTGGAGTTTGTTTGGTATGGAACCACAAGTAACAGAGATAAGAGTGGAGCTTATCTCTTCTTACCAGATGGAGAGGCCAAGGTAAGATCATCTTAATTAAGATTAGTAGTGCTACATTAATAATAGACTTGAATATTGAGGAATACAGAGGAGAGAACGCAGGTATATAAGTTCCAATCCAAAGCTAGTCTTCTGCTAGTACTAAGACCTAACCTGAAGATAAGCTCTAGTATGATTTTCCAGGATGCTCGTAATATAAGCCCTGCCTCAAAAATAAGCCCCAGTTAAGTGAAACCCCCCCCTCCACCCCTGTGCAGCAACCAGAAGATGATGACATGACTGTATTTGAATAAATGTAGATTGTTGTACGTGAAAAAAATAAAACATCCCCTGAAAATAAGCCCTGGTGCATTTTTGGAGCAAAAATTAATATAAGACCCTGTCTTTTTTCAGGGAAACATGGTAGAAAACAGCTTCTGATCATGGAAGGACTATTTCTAACTAGCGGAACTGCATGTAATTGAAAAAAAAATTCCTAAGTCATTAAATGTGTTCACAGCTAACTAGGAGGTGCCTACTTGGCATTCTAGAAAACAGTCAAATATTCTGTATGTCACATAGTGTCTTTAAAATTTCAATGTCAGTAGAAATGCAGGCTTTGATCTATAAATCCAAATGCATGTGATAATCTCGAAGTCCAGTGAGTACCATTCCATGCATGGAAAGCTCCCACTAGAAATGATATTTTGCAGAGTTATCCTGCAAAGCAATCCTGCCCCCTGCAAGCTCATGTGTTCTATGAGGGAGTCAGGATACTCTGGAACTGTGTGAGTGGCATGCAGAGCTGTAGAAAGTGGGAGGAGGTAAAACAATGATCTTCCCAATCCTTCCTTCAGAAAGAGCTGCTTCTGCTTTCCATTTCCTTTGGCAAATGCAGGACATGCTCCCATGATTGGAAGGGTAGATCTGGATCTAGCACATAACATTTTGAGAGGCCAGTAGTGCACCTGGAACATTTGCTGTTCACAAATAGTCAGCATTTTAGAAGTAGTGGTCAAATTCCTGTTGGTTAGGACAGTAAATCACATCAGAATAGGCCCATTGAATCAGTAGGGATTTAGTAAGTCAGCTCCTCTGTAAGTTCCTCTGTATCAAATCAGCCTACTCTATGACTTGCTATGCTAAAGTAAGTTGCATTAGAGTTGGCCTATTTGAATGAATGGACATTGTCACTTAGGGGTGTACTCACTTTTGTTGCTAGCAGTTTAGACATTAATGGCTGTGTGTTGTGTTATTTTGAGGGGACAGCACATTTACACTGTTATACAAGCTGTATATTCACTGCTTTACATTGTAGCCAAGTGTCATTTCGTCAGTGTTGTGACATGAAAAGATTTACTAAAATATTTATGAAATTTAAGGGGTGTACTGACTTCTGTGATATACTGTAGTTTGTTTTTAGTCCGATTTGTTTCACATTACTTTAATTCAACTGGCATAGAGTGGCAACATAAACAGTCAGAGACTTGTTTTAGAAAGAATGAACATGTTTCTTTTTATTTACAAAAATCTTAAAGTTGGAATAGAAAACAAAAACATATTCACGGATTGATTATTACGATATCTTAATTTGCTTGTTTCATTATTTGATTCACTAAGCTTACTGGTTACATATATACACTGAACACTGACATTATTTAACCTGCCCGTTGCATTTATAAACATTAACATACAATAGGAAGCCAGTATCCATGGAAGATTGGTTCCAAGCATTCTCGCAACTGCTGAAAGCCATAGATAATAGCGAACACTATACATAGCATGGTAAAAGAAAGAATATCTGGAAAAAAAGTATTTTCACATGTATTATCAGAACTGGCCACTAAAGGGTGTAAGAGACCGTGCGATTTCTAGGGTTTTTTATTTTTATTATCAGACCTTGCATAAGTGAAGCCATGGATACTGATTCAGCAGATACGGGGGTCCTACTGTATTCACAAATTCATTTTTAAAACTGATACTAAATCTGGACAGTTCCTGACTGACACTAACTGAGGTAAAAAGGCAGGAAATAGACACTGAGGTACAGAGTGAAACCATAGGTTACTCTATGTGATTGACATGCATTCAAAGTCCCTCCCATCAAAATCTTTTAAAGGCACAATATGCCGGTTGCTATTTCAACAACTCTAGTGTGATTTATTATGCTAAGCAATAGGATTTTAGTCAAGGATATACAGCAGGGACGGGCAAAATTGAGCCTGCAGGCTAAATCCATGCTTACACTCCAGGAGCCAAAATGAAGCCCTCTTTTGCATCTTCACAGTGCCATTTGTTAAATCTTTTGCTTGTGTTTTCAAAGGCTTATGGTTCCCAACCTTGAGTAACTCAGCTGTTCTTGAACTGCAACTCCCAGAAATACCAGCCAGCACTTCTGGGAATTGTAGTCCAAGAACACCTTGGTTACCAAAAGTTGGGAACCACTGCTGTAAGGGGTATTAGAGGAATACTGCCAAGTTCTTCTTCGTGGCCTCTGTGAATGCACACAATTGGATTGTTCTGCGCCTGTGCAGGACCTCTCGGAAGTTTCTAGAGCTTAAAGACATGTGATTAGTGGGATGTTCCCCCATGGAGTGCATGCTCCACCCGCCAGAAGTCCCCTCCATCCACCAGAAGTTCCTTTTAGCCGCCACTTAGGTTAGACCTATTTTGGAGAGAGCTAGAATGATTGAGCGTTTTCTGCAACTGGTAGTTGCTTCTTTTATTTCAATCACCTTGTATGTACAGTATGGTTGGCGGAATCGCTGAAATGGCTGTTAGACAAAGGACTGTCTATGGTACTGGGGCCGCTGGTACCAAAATGTTTGCTGGGTGGAATATGATCGAGCTGTTTTTAAACCTTTTATGAAGGTTGTCCATTTGTCTGTTTTTTCATTGAAAAGGCCAGCGCCATCAAATGGAAGGTCTTCAATTCTTGATCTGGTATCATCAATTATGCCAGCTGACCTAAGCCAGGCATGGCATCTAAGGGCAATAGATGTTGCCATTGCCTTAGACGTGGCATCAGCAGTGTGGTAGGAAGCATTTTTTTGCTGTTTGGCCGGAGTAGAAGCCTCAGCATAAATATTTAGGGCTTCATTCTTAGAAGACTCAGGAGCCGCTTGAATAATGGGGAGGATCTTATTCCATAGTTGCCTATTGTAAGCTCCCATGGTGGCTTGATAGTTGGTGCTGGAGGAGCCACAAATGCAGGATAGAACCCTTTCTGGCCCGTCAACATCTACCGCACCATCCTTTCAACCCCAACAACAGCAACCATGTCAACAACCCTTTTGACACCAATAGAAGGGTAAGCAGTATCAATAAACCCCTTCCATCTTCCACCACTATTTCCACTCCATTTCAAACAAGGTTATACCCTTTCCTTAGTGCATGGGGTTGAATCATCAAGGACCAATGGGTCCTTTCTATTATCATAAAGGGCTATTTCATCGAATTTCAGCATACTCCACTTTTCACTGTCATTGACTACTCCCCACTCATTGGCTAGTGCAGGGGAAGGGGCTCCCCGGCCACCTCAGTACTGGCTGGTTGGGCTTGTTGTTTTTGGTGGTGGCAGGGCAGATCCGGCAGTTCCTTTTCCCCCATGTGGCAAGCGGGCAAGGCCGTGCTGACCCCTGCCCTGTCAGTACTGGTGGTTGCTCCATATCCTGTTTTCATGCAAGGATTCATATTAAAGCAAATGAGTGAAACAGGCAGTTTCATACCAGTTTCCCAACAACTTGCAATAAAAAGCTTACTGTGGATTATGTGAAATACATATAATTCCTGCCCTTGTGGGTTGAGGGCTGATGTTTCCCATGTGCTGAAAGCCCTTAGCAAACATACACACACCATCCCCCCCCCCCCATAGCAAAGGACTGTTTCAGTTAAAAATTCTCATTTGCTGCAAGTGGCTGTGGCTTTCCCGGAGTGTAAGCTGCATTTGGGTCTCTGGAGTTTGCCCCCCCCCTTTATTAAATGTTACCCAGTTGTCACCTCCCTTATATATGAAGTGCATTCCTTAGTGCTGTTTCAGCCATTCCACAGAGGTAGTAAAAGAAGCAGTACAAGTGTCAGATTTCCTCTCTCAGCATTTTTGGAGTCTGTTTAGAAACAGGTGAGAGCAGTACCCTGTTCCTTTTTCAAGCACCACCACTTAGTGTGCAGAGGATGTAGAAATCTCATTTTTGCCTTTCTCTCTTTCTGCAGCCCTATGTTTTTTCTGATCCACCTATCATCCGAGTTACACATGGGAGGATTTTTTCTGAAGTCACTAGCTTTTTTCATCATTTGACTCACACAGTACGGCTTTACAAAGTTCATGGTAATGTAACATTAGCAAATACGGTTGAACAACTGTGTTCTTTTGTTTGCTAAAGGTTTCAAGTTGTGCCCTTTTAATGTAGCGTGTGTGAAGATACTTGACTGTTTTACATCTAGTTCTAGCTTCGAAACAACTCTTTTCACTGCAGTGGGAGGTCTTCAAAAACAGTCTTTTTTTACCTGTCAAATTCAATCAGCCTGCCTCAAGCTAGACTTCTGTAAAGCATTGTATTTGGGACTGCTTTTCAAATGCATTTTTAAACTTCAGTCATTGCAGATCTTATCAGCCAAAATTTTAAGTAGAGCGGGCAATGATGCATGTGTTACTCAAGTGATTATGTATATTTTACTAGTGTCTGGTTTCTGGGTACAATTTAACGTACTTTTAAAAAGTCTTCAAAGTTACTAAAGTGACTTGAGCACCTGAAGTTTATCTTCTCTTCTGTGAACCTGCCTATCAGATTATTATATCTTGAAGAGTTTTATTTAAATTAATCATGCTCTGTTAACCATGTACAGAATGCTATTGGGTTTTTACACATGTATGAGAGGCATTATGTAAACCACAGCTGCTAATGGACAAAGTACCACTCTCATCTCAGTTGCTTGCTCACCTGGTTGCATGTCTGACATGCTGTTATTTAGCTACAATTAGCTGTAATTTGCCATGGCAACCTCTATGATTTCTTTCCTGTGTACATAAAAATCCAATAGGATTCTGCTCGGTATATTGATTTTTTTAAAAAGCTTTTTTGCTTCAAGACATAAAATTCCAGATTGGTTTTTGATGTTACAGAATGAAAAATTTAAAAATGAAGCAGTTTGGAAAGTATTTATTTCTTTTTCAGTGTTCAAGTCAGTGTTGTAGTATTTCTGGAACCCACTTAAGTGAGATATGCATTGAGGGAGGGGGGGAGAAGAGAATAAGAACTAAACAGCATCACAGTCAGCCAAAACGACTGAAGTAGGCAAAAGCCAAAACATTTTGCTCACACTTTTGTTTAGTAGTCATAAGTACACACACACACACACAGAGAGAGAGAGAGAGAGAGAGAGAGAGAGAGAGAGAGACTCAATATATTACATTGGCTGAGATGAAAAAGTACACAGTGACTTAAAGTCATTTTAGCCATTGAGGTAAAGGAAAAAGAAATTTTCAGCAAAAATTTCTTGCTTTTCTCTCCCACCCCCCTTTCATTTCTTGTCTTTTTGGCTGTGAAAGAAAGGGGGAAAATGGCAAATCCTGAAGCCTAGGAACATTGATTATAACTCTTCAAGTAGCATTGTCATAAAAAATTCTGTGTTAATTCTTCAACATAATATGACTCAGGCATATGTGGGGGAAGATAAAATGTCCCTCGTGAGATGATGAATAGCTCAGTGAGTTAGGTGTCTGGCTGCAGATGCAAAGGCTGGGAGTTTGATTCCCCACTGGGCCTCCTGGGAGAAGAGACAGACTGTGTAGCCATGGGCAAGTTGCATAGTACCAGAGTACCCTCACAAGATGGAATGAATACTCTACATCTGGAAAACTCTTTAAAGGGTTGACATAAATTGGAATCAACTTGATGACATAGAATTATTATTATATGAGGGTTAATTTGCATTGCTTTTTTTCTTTAAAAATCTTTTGTTTTTTTCATATACAGTGGTGCCTCGCATAGCGACGTTAATTCGTTCTGCAAAAATCACAGCAGAATGAAAACATTGCTATGCGATATTAAAAAGCCCATAGAAACGCATTGAAACCCCTTCAATACGGTCCTATGGGCTGAAAACTCATTTAAGCGAAGATCCTCCATAGTGCCGCCATTTTCGGTACCTCTAAAGTGAGAAATCCGACCCTAAACACAGCGGGCGGCCATTTTGAAACCGCCGATCAGCTGTTAAAAAATCATCGCTTTGCGATGATCGGTGCCCGAAGCAGGGAACCGATCATTGCAAAGCGAAATTCCCCCATAGGGAACATCGCAAAGCGATCACTTTTGCGATTGCAAAAAGTTTGTTGCAAAGTGATTTCGTCGTAAAACAAAGTGATCGCTATGCGAGGCACCACTGCATATGCTCTGGGTTTTTCTTTTTTTTCTTCTATTTAAACTGCATTTCTATCTAGTAGAATAATCATAAACAGTTACTGTTGGCATCTATGAGTTCAGTCTTTGACAGAATGATAATATAATTTTCAATGGCCAGAATCCTGTTTCTTAACATAGTTAATCTAACTAGAGTAGACCTACTGAATCACTGAGGGTTTGGTGAGCTGACTGTTCCATAAACTCCATTGATTCAAATGGGCCTGCTCTACTTTAAAATAGTAAATCATGGTTAGAACAGGCCCATCTGAATCAATAGAATTTACCAGTCGAATTGACTCACATTAATTCAGTGGACCTACTCTAGTGTGTTTTACTGTGCTAAGCAACAGAATTTTGACCAATAAATACAATTTGTAAGTAGTTTAACTATTTGGTGCAGTGACTGTTAGGTTACTCTGTTATTTTGCTTTGTAGCTGGGATGGAAAAAGACAGCAAATAAGGCTTTAACTGTGCTGCATCTGAGTTTGTTGAACATAGTTACTTCCATTTATTTGGAATTACAACCATGTAATTTGTTGCCATTGTCTGTATTTGCTTGGATTAGGGGGGCTCCTGCTGGAAAGCTGGTATACAGTATATCATATATAGCAGTGGTCCCCAACCTTTTCCCAACTGCGGACTGGCGTGGCACGCTCGCTGGGGGGGGTGTCAGGCTCGTGGGGGTGTTGCCCTCGTGTGCGGGGGGCATGTTATGCTCGCAGGGTGTTTGTCACACTCATGCGCATTCACGCTCAGAGGGGGTGGAGCATGCTCATGCATGGGGCACACTTGCAGAGGGGTGCTCATGGGGGAGCAGGAGATCTGTGTCCACGGCCAGGTTCTGTCTTGGCCGCGGACCACTGCCGGATCACGGACTAGGGGTTGGGGACCCCTGATATATAGAATATAATTGTTTCCAGCTTTGTTCTTGTCCAGAATTGTGCTTCTGGATATAGGGGACCAAGAGCTGTGGAATTATGTGAGTCCACCTTTTTTGTGACTCCCGTTGAGCTGCAAAAATAAGAAAGTCATAGAGGGTTTGTGGGGCACAACAAGCTGTCTGACACTTAATATAAGAGGTCTGACAGACATTATTGCAAAATCATGACTTCTTTTTTCTGTTTAGGGCTAGAAGGACAGTCTCCTGAGATATCCAATATTGTGGACATCAGGGGAGAAAATAATTATGAGATTGCAATGAGAATTTCATCTGATATAGAAAGCCATAATAAGTTTTACACAGACCTCAATGGATACCAGGTAATTACCATTCATTAATTCTAAGCACAGTGGATAAGGTATCTGTGCTCTAAGGTTTAGAGCCAGTGTATATCTGCATGGGTTCTTTGCTTCTTTGTTCATATCTTTAAAATAATTTTACTATGTGTCTTACTTTATAATTCACGGTGAAGCTTAATGAAGTCATATTTGATAATGCAGATTCAGCCTAGACAGACAATGAGCAAATTGCCTCTTCAAGCAAATTTTTATCCAATGACTACAATGGTTTATGTCCAGGATAGCAAGATTCGCTTGACTCTTCATTCAGCTCAGTCTCTTGGAGTTGCAAGTTTGAAAAGTGGTAAGTAAATGAAGGTTCAGAGTGAATATGGAGAAAATTAACTGTATTATTCTGGTGATATACTACAAAGATCCATAAGAAGTGAGTAATTAAGAAATTTAGGTACCCAAATAGAAAGGAGAAAGTAGTATAGCTGGAAGAATGCTGTGACATGAATGTTTTAAACTTTGACTTTGTGCAAATATGTTAAAGTGAGAGGAGATGTAGGCTTTCTTTCTTAAATGCATTTTAATTAATTTATAAGCATATTTTTGTTCATGTGAAACTTATAGCTGAACATTTACTAGCATTTGTCTGTTCAAAGAATGGTGTATATTCTGTACTGTAGCAACATAATGCATGCATTTAATTGCATACTGATAGAACCAAATACAAATATTTGTTTTTAGGACAATTAGAAGTCATCATGGACCGTAGGCTTCTGCAAGATGACAATCGAGGCTTAGGACAAGGTGTACAAGATAACAAAATCACAGCTAATCTATTCCGACTTCTGTTGGAGAAAAGAAATGGCGTAGATATGGTAGGAATAGTATTACGAAAATTTTTGTATATGAATTAATAATTTACTATAGTTTATTAGACTTGAAAGTATAAGCACACTTGCAAGGAGATTTTGTAACTCTTAAGAATAATCTTTCACTATTCAAATCCAGGTTTTGTTTAAATTGGGGTGGGGGGTTACTGGGAAGTACATGGAGCAGCAACTCCTGGTATCTGGGTGAAGTGAATTGTAGCTCCTTGAGTGCTTGTCTCGGAACATGATGACAAAGGAAGCAGGGCCTGATGTCATCCCTCCCACAGAGGGCTATTTGCAGGAAAATCTAGCTCCCTTCTCCTCTTGTTTTAGTTCCCATGTCTAACTATAAAGTCACAATGTATGTCCTTAGAGTGTCATAATTTTTTCCACTTTTTTCTCTCCCCAACCCTTTAGGGTATTTAGAAGGCCTATTGATGTGTTCATAACAGGGCTAAACTGAACATGTGATGACAGAGGCTATGCTAGCCCAATTACTTTATGCTCTGATCTCACATGAAGAGTAATTATCCAAAAAAAGTAGTACTTTTGCTACATGCTAATGTAATATCTGTGAATATATTACTTCAGCATGTAACAAAGTACCAGAACCCAGAAAAACAGCATTCACATTTTTCTGTTTATAAGATGACCCAATGTATAAGACGACCCCCGCCCCGTTTTCTAACCCCAAATTAGAAAAAGCAGGGATCAAAGGGCTCCCTCTTTACTAAGCCCCATGCCTTCACAAAGGGCAAGGAAAGTGGCTGTCAAAGTGACCGCTGCTTTTCCTTGCCTTTTGAGAAGGCACGAAGCTGAGCAAAAAGGAAGAGAGAAATGACTCTCCTTCCTTTTTGTTAAGCTCCATGCCTTCTCAAAGGGCAAGGGTGCGGGGGGCTTAGCAAAAAGGAAGGGGAGTTGTTGCTCCCCTTCCTTTTTGCCCAGCTCCGTGCCTTCTCAAAAGGCAAGGGCGTGCAAGGCTTAGCAAAAAGGAAGGGGAGGCGTTTCTCCTTTCCTTTTTTGCTAAGCTCCGTGCCTTTGCAAAAGGCAGTGGTAAACATCTGCCTTCCATGTATAAAACAACCCTCAATTTTTTCTCAAGTTATTTAAGAAAAAAGTTGTTTTATACATGGAAAAATATGGTACTCTCCTCTTTAGAATGTTGCTCTCCACAAGCAATGATTTGCAGGGAGGCAGGAGGTAGTTTGTGTCCTGTCCTTACATAGTAGTAGTTTGAGAAAAAGTACCTGTGTTAGTCTGTTCTAGCATGTCAGGCAAAACCAAAATAAAAATAAAAAATAAAGAAGAACAAAACATTGTGGCACCTTAAAGACTGTTATATTTTAATGTGAGCTTTCATGGGCAGGTCTACTTCCTCAGTTTGCTCACATTAAAATATAGGGGTTAGAATTATTCTATTTTTCTTTTCTTTTTGCCTGATATGCCATCCTCACATGTTCACAATTGTGAATTCCTCCTATATGCTGTATTATATAATTTCATTTGCTGGCGGACATGGAAGGAGCCTCCCACAAAGAATGTGAGGCATCCCCTGGGCAATGGCAGTGCCCTGTCAACTCATCCTTCTGGTCTGGGAGCACCATTGGATTGCATCTGACGTGAACAAAGGAGAAAAAGATTATCACTTGCTAAGGAAGCACAGACTTCTTGTTCACACTGTTAGTACTTGTAGCAAAAGTGGATCCAGTAACTTTACCTCAGAAACACCTTTACAACAAGCATTATTCAATTTCGTTTATAAATTCCAGGGAGGTAAAGGTCAAGTTATTTAAGAAATAGTTTCAAGAACACAAAGGACTATATAATCTGTAGCATGGTAGAAATTCTGCCTCTCTTGAGAGTAAATTATGCTGTGGATAATGAATTATTGGTTGGCAGCTCTCAGGTTATTAGCTAGGCATTTTCAAAGTCTAAGCAATTACATAAACATTACATTTTACATAATCCTACTTGTGGGTACATTCCACATGAATACACATATTCTGAACACATTGACCAAGGTTTGAGGCCAACAGAATGCATCCATACAATATAAGCAGAAATCGGTATTATTGTTACAGTAGATAATCTAAATAAGTACAGTTTTTTTTTGCTCCATAAGATGCACTGGACCTTAAGACGCACATAATTTTTAGAGGAGGAAAACAGGGAAAATATATTCTGAACCAAATAGTGTAATAAAATATTTAATAAACTATAACAGAATAACATTTGAACTATGTAAAGTGGACAGCAGTCAACAGTGGCATTAAGAACCATTACCACTATCATTAACAAATGGAGAGACTTAAAGCTTTGTGTACTCTAGTTTATGTACCATAAATTTGTGTACCATAAATTTAATTCAAGTACATATAGACCATTATCAGCCAGTGATAAGACCTATACCACACTACCTATATTTTACATTTCCTTTCATCCACCTTCTCCCCGTGCTTATAGAAATGTCTCAATGACAGATGAGATTGTTGTGCAACTCTGCCCATCTACAGCTCAAGCCTATATTAAGTTAGAAATGGTTTGTCTGATTTGGCACTGCATTGAGAGGTCCCTTTTAGTTGTGTGGAGGATAAATAGTGGAATTAAACTATTTAACAGCTGGTTTTCCTTATTTATTTTAGGTTATGCAAAAGAACAGCAACACAAAGCTTAACCAATTCACCAGTAGTAGCACATGCTCAGCATAAGACCAAATCTCGGGTTTCTAACAAAATTGAACATTTATAGCATGCAAGGCACAACAG